TCCGTTTTATCATGTACTTGGATAGTTGGATTGATCCTTAGGACACCGCATAGTCTACACGTAACACTTTTATGTGTTTAATATTTGTCAGAGGTAAAATTATTTTTTATATACATATAAAAACGTATAAAATTTATATGAGGTAATGTGAAAAGAAAAAAAAATATGACTTTATATATTTTTATATATATGTATGAGATAAATTTTATTTTATACATCATAAAAAATATCAAACCTTATTTTTAATATGAAAAATATCTTCAATATTCTCATATTACTGAAGACTACTTACATCCTTTACCAAATTTGAAAAAAATAATATAATCAACTTTTCTCATTTTATCCATTCTTTTATAATTATTGTCACCTAAATCTCACTTTTTTCTATTTTTAGTAAAATAATACATGCTCGTATAGAACCAAAGATATGTTGCTCAATGTGTGGTATAGATTTTATTTAAGGGTTTTATAAGAGTTATGTTGTAAGAAAAGTAATTGTATAATGTTATAGAGATTCGTTTTGCGTGCCTTAATTTTTTATTTTTTATTTTGCTTCAAAAACTGCGAGTCCCACAAAATATTGTGTGTGTATGAAATTTTTTTGTGTCATGTGACATGATAGATGCAAACCCCTTTATTTAATTACATGAATTCATATTTTTTACTGTGCTGTGTCATGTTTCAATTGGATAAATGTGCTATTCACAATGAAAACATAGACAAATTCTTAGGTAGGTCTTACCTCGTTAATTCAGATTATGTCAAATTTACTCTTTGGAATTTTTAAGTTCTTCGTATGCAAAACACATCACCAAAAAAAATAAAAAAATAAAATCCTCACCCTGTCTCTAAAGTCCGAAAATATCTTCATCTCTCACACTCACTTAAGAGATTGTTGGCTACCCGTAACCACATCCACATCCTAATTCCTATGGATCCTGACTCCTGAGTATACTTTAACGATGTCCTATTGCATAATGTTTTTACCTATTTTACGCAGATCTTTCACATGCCACTTTTATTGCTACTAACATATGAGAATATTAAGTGCACTTAGCAACAATATCTGTTTTCAATATATAACGTGTTACAAAATCTGTCTTTTATTAGCCATTCAATTTTATTTTTGACCTTTTGCCATCGATATTTGATGTAGACTTAAAGTCCGATAAATATACCTAGTTATATATATTTCCTTGAGAAGTAAAGGAATCGAATATTAAGGTAGACAAGTGAAACTCTTATTTTAACAAGATACTCTTAAGCAAAAAAGGTATAGTCTAAGTGCAAAACAAGACACAGAGCATTTATATGCGGATTTTGGTATCATTTGATTATCATTTTGCTTGAGAGGTGTGTGTTCACCTTCAAATTGGTGGGGAACTAGAAAAAAAAAATGTTAAAAGAAATATAAAATCATTATTGTAGCCTCATCAAATATTTTAAGATTTTGAGTTAAATTGATTTTTTACATGGTATCAGAGCTATCGTAACTAAGTGATTACGAGTTCGAACCTTAACACCTCCTACTTTGAGGTGAAATTAAGTAAGCACAAAGTATGTATAAAAAAAGAAAATAAATAAGCACAAGATAAATCAGACTCTTGCGTGAGGAAATGTGTTGTAGAGATATAAAATCACTAATATAGTTTCACTTAATATCTTAGGGGGTGTTCGGTAGGGAGATTCTTTTTGGAAACCCAAGAAAGTCAGGATGAGTTTCTAAAAAGATTATGTTTAGTAGCACATTTCAAAAAAAATTCTCGGAAAAGTGATGTTTTCTGAATTCTGTGTTGTGTGTATTTTCTAATCCAAAATACCACCCAGAGGATTGTATTTTTGGAATCCCACCGGATGGGAAAATTTCTCAAACTTTTTCGAAAAAATTACCCCCTCCCTCTTTGTTCCCTACATCAACGGAGCTTCGACCCAGCACATAATAAAGCATTTTGGTGGTGTGCTGGTGGCTCATTTTGGTGTGTGCTAATGATAAGGAGCTCGCACTTTCATATACTTTGAATTGTGGCTCATTTACGATGGCATATGTGAAAAATTGGGGGACTTCTATGTTATGGTCCATCAAATTGAAGACGTGAACAACGCGAAGAGGGTACTGGAGAAATAAAAAAAACGTTTCATGCATAGTTAAATTTCCTTTTGAAGGAACAAATATTGTATTTAACAGAGTACTTTGAATGAAATTTTCTGGGTTTGATGGTGAGTTTTGGGCACTTGAAGGGTTAATTTTGTAAATTCAGAACACATTTCCAGCAATATTTTACAATCAACCAAATATAGCATCAGAAAAATTAGTCCAACATTTTTCACGGTAAACTCAATTTCCCATTATATTCTCGAGAATCGTGATTCTCGGATAATTTTTTTTTTTATCAAACTCTCCCTTAAAGTTTTAGGTTGAGATAATTGTTTATAGAATCAATGTATGCCTCTCTTCCATATCATTGATAGTATTGGACCATCTCTTAATTAATTCTACACATTCAAATTATGTCTTTTTCTTCCTCACAGGGTGATCTAACTTGTAAAGTCGGCAAAACAGGCTCAGCTCGGCGGTTCAACTCGCCCGCTCGTCAAAAGGGGCAGGGAGGCGAGGGCTGAGTTTTACAGCCCATTCTTAAAAGCGGGGTGAGACAAGCTAACTCATTTTTTAACTGATTGATAGTGGGGGCAGACCGAATTTTTTAACTCACTTTCAAAAGCGGGATGGGGTGAGCTGACCCATTTTTTAACAAGTTGACGGCAGGGTGAGGCGGGGCAGACCGTCCACTTTACCACCTCTACTTGTGATTATAGAATCCCCCCTCTTTGTCTCATCTTAAGAAATTGCATTATTTGAAAAAACAAAATTAATTTTACTATATAAAAAAAATTAAAAAATTGAATCGGTTAGGTCGTTTACCCGGGAAACAGTAAAATCCTTTTTACTGTAATGCTTTTTTTATCTTCCTTTTATTGTAGTACTTGAAAAATTATTGAACAACTAATTATATATATAAAAAATTAAGTTATGAATATTTTATTATATTAAATGACTTAAAGATTGTATAAATAGCACTTCTATATAATAAATAATACTTATTTATAAAAGTTAATGATCACCACACTTTCTGAGTTTGCAATCCTTGGTTCACCCCCTGGATTCAAATAGTCATGATATGAAACTTTAACCACGCTCCATGATGTGTAAGTCATTCAGGTTGAATGTCTACAAGCAAGCTTTCATACCCTTTTCTTCCTTTTTATTTATACATATGTTAAATTGTCATCATATCGCAGATTTTCCACTTTCACATCAGGTAGAAAGAAAGAAACCACTTGTTCCTCACCTAAGTGACCTATCACATCAAAGGTAACCTTTTTTTTTTCTTTCGGAAAACTCAAAGGTAACCTTAAACCACTACTTTTATATAGCCATAAAAACAGTGTTTTAAGGTAACCAACCACTTGTTTTAAAGTTTCAAAGGTAACCTTAAAACATGCTTTTTGGCTATATAAAATGGATAAAAATAATTTTACTGGTCACAGTGTAACACACAAGAACATACTTCTGATTTAGTGCAATAAACCTTTTCTTTTTTCAGGTGAAAAGTGCACTAAACTTTCTTGTAAGTTGTAACCTTTGAAAAGAAAATATCTCAAATATTTCACCAACAGGTCAAGCTCGTATGAAAAGGTTGATTAACCATTTTTTATATTTCTCTATGATACATTTTTAAGAAAAGAGTCTCTTTGCAATTATGTAAGAGTAAGATTATAAATAAAGATTTCCTCTATTCCATATTCGCTAGTTGAATTTAACGGGAAGTGATTTTTCTATGATACATTTTCACTTAAGAGTCCTTTGAGTTTTGAAACATGAATATTGTATATGTTCATTTATTTTATATACTACTGACTTGATTTCATTAAAAAGTAAGATAGTGATGATCAAACTCATAACCTCATAATCATGTAAACTTTAATACCATATAAAAAAAAAAAAGTGCATGTCTTTTTAGGACACAAACTTTTTAAGAGAGAGATAAACATAACCCCGCTGAACTACTTTTTCTTTCCACTTTTCTCCCGTACATCAATTAAACTACCATCGTTTGATTTACCATTTTTTAAGACTCTGTCTATTTGTACATACATTGTTTCTTTTAAAAAATCTTCATATAAAGCCAACAAAACCATGCCTAGCTAGTAGCTACTTAATGTAGTTACCTATACTAAGTACTCAGTTAGGTTAGCGTTAGCGCTTATTTGGGCTTTAAGTCCTGACATCGTTTTCTGCAGCAGGACTAGCACCAGCACCATATAAATATGAATAATAACAACATTATTTAGCTTTCTCTTTTTGTAAGGTACGCATCCTTACACTGTTGACAGATCTGACATTCCGTAATTCTCAAACTAGATTACTTAAAATTCTTGATATCTTAGTTTATTCCTCATTGTGTGCTCCAACTCTCAGATTCCCCATGCAAGTTTCACACTATGCACTATATAATATATGCTACGTAATTAAGCTTTGTGCAATTCAACAAGGTTGAAATGCTCACAACCTTTGGCCACGCTCACTCAGCACACACTCCCATATATTAATTTGGTACGAAATGCACCCTATTCCACAGACCAATCTTCTCCCTCTTCTCCAACTTCTATGCCATCCTCAATACCTAGTACCTCCCTGATGTTGCCACGTGTTCACCATATGGTATTTCTGATTGGAAATCTCAAAGGGTGATCAGAAACATACTATGTACTTTTACTACTCCCATTTGGGTATATCTTTATGTTCATGCATGTATGTGCTTTATAGTTTATACTTTCAAGTTCAATACTTTCTCATTATTTTAAGAGCCATTACCATTAAGCAATAAAAGGGGGTGCCATGAACGTATTGTTTTCTTTAACATCTTCACTGCACTCACTTGCTCTTCTTCCTTTTGATAACCAATATAGAGAGTCAAACAGGCTTTTTACTGGCACTGGCAATGTTACCTATTGTTGTCATCCTAACTTCTTTTGTTACTGTTAGTTTTGGACTTCTTTTGTTCTTTCCTTTTTCTTGTTCCCTACATGAGCAAGGAAAACTACTGCAACCCCCTTTGCTTCCAAATTCTTGCAATGAAACATGTGGGAAACTCCATGTTCCTTTTCCATTCTATGTTAACACTTCTTGTGTGTCAATTTCTAGTGCTTTCCACCTCTCTTGCTCAAATTCCTCTGCCCTTTTGCTCAAAATTGGCTCAGAAAGTTATCCAGTGTTGGAATTCTTCCCAGATGGTTTGTTAGTGGACTTTCCAGACACATCATCATGTCGCCAGTACAATGACTTGAATTCATTTGGTGAAAGTTTTGAAGGAAATGACTACTTTGGAGTCTCTTTTGACAATGTTATTGGTCTCTATGATTGTGAGGATTCTTCTTTGTGCAAAGCAGATTGTGAAACCATTGACCTTCCTGGTTGTGATGGAAGTGGTGATGGCTCCCTTGGATGCTGCTATCCACTCTCTGACCATAGCATATGGCATATTGGAGAAGGCTTTTCAAAATTTTCTCAGTTTGGATGCAGGGGATTTTCTAGTTGGGCTGTTTTGAGAGGGTCAAATTCAGGAAAACGTGGGGTCAAATTGGAATGGGCTATTCCTAGGAACTCCTCCAAGGAAGTTTGTGCGAGGAGTGCAGACATGGCTAATGCTACATCAATTGAAGGTGGCGTAAGGTGTGTTTGTCAAGATGGATATGTTGGTGATGGGTTTGCTAATGGAACAGGATGCTTGCAGTGTGAGTAGTTTTCATCATCATGTGGATGCAAAAGGAGTATTTTCCTTGTTTTGACATTATTTTAACAGTTTTCTTGTTCTTCTGCATTCATCTGAACTTCATAATCTTTATTTTTTGAACCTTCACAGTCAAATGCTTAGAAATCCTAACATGTGACCTTACCTCTTGATTTTGTTTGTTCTAATAGTTATTTGACTTCATTAGACATGGAGAACCATTACTTTCTCTAATAGTGCCAGCAAGTCCTGAAACTACAAAAAATAGTACAGCTCCTCTAGTTCCTCTATGTCTGTTAAAATGTCGGATCTGGGATGTGAATCTCTCCATTCAACCAAAACTAATACATGCTAGAATAGTTTAGAAACTAATGCTAAGAATTGCTTCAGCTGAATGAAATAAGGTCACTTATAACGACTTGATAGTATAGCATTGGATTAACCAATAAATATGTGTTCTTTTATTTCTTCATGACCATGTGAGCATATAGGCTTTTTTATTTGGATAACTATTCAAGAGTGATAGATGGTATATATGACAAAACAAACTCAAGCTAGGTAAATATATGATACACAGTTTGAGAGAGATTAATAAAACTCTTTTTTTTTTTCCCCCTGAAATAAACGGATTCCTGAGCAATCCTTTAAACTGTTTGATCTTCGGTAACACTCTCCATTCAGCTCTGACACTTACTTTTGCTAGATGTATCCATGGCAGCCTGTATCAAGAATGGACAGGAAGCATATGGAAGTGACTGCTACATCAAAAGATATGATCAAAGGAAAATGGTTATCATTGCCGGTAAGTAGCTAGCATAGCATTGTAACCTTTTAATAATTTTTCTTGCAGAAAGTCCTCATCAAAAATTAAAAATATGTTATCAACCTATGAGACATATTCAATAGATGATACCGAAGGCAATAAGGATTAGTCCCTAATAGAATTTACATTTTTTCAACGTTTTCCCTTCATCTGTATAATTTGTAGTGTTATTTTTTCACATTTATTGTCCTTCTGAGTCAATCTCATGGCATCCTTAATATGCAGGAATTCTTGGTCCAGTTCTTATTGTTGCCTCCTTGGTTGCATTATTTTATCTTCTAAGAAAATCAGAAAAACCAGAAATGTTTGACACTGAGCAGGTTTATTATCACAACATTTCATTCCGCAAAGGTTGTAGAACTCGACTATTCAGCCACCATGAGCTAGAGGAAGCCACCAATGGTTTTGGAGAGGGTCAGAAACTTATGCATGGAAGTAATGGGACAATGTTTGCTGGAGTTCTTGGGGATGGATCTCACATAGCTGTCCACAAGTTAAAATGTGAGAATGAGAAAGACATAGTTCAAGTCCTGTCACAAATTGAGGTTCTATCTACTATTGTACATAGGAACATGGCTTGCCTTATTGGATGCTGTATTGACTCTAGTTACACTCCTCTAGTGGTGTACGAGTATCCTGCAAATGGTACCCTGGAGGAGCATTTACACCAAAGCAAGGGACAAAAACTTAGTTTAGAATGGTATAAGAGATTGACTATTGCTGCAGAAACAGCTAGCATTGTTGCACTATTACATTATGAGAACTCTCCTCCCATATTCCACCATAATCTTAAGTCTAGCTGTATCTTCCTAGATGATGATTTTTCTGTCAAGATTGCAGGATTTGGGCTATTTAGTTCTGATTTTAATTATGATTCTCACTTGCACAAGAACCGTGAATGTTTACCCTTCTGCAGAAATGATGTCTATGACATGGGTGTGGTGCTTCTTGAGATTATCTCAGGCTCAAATCACTTGGACTCACCTACTTTAGCCTTGAAGAAAATACAGGCTGGAAAGCTAGAAGAAATTGTTGATCCTCTTCTTTACTATCATGAGCAACCACACTATCGCCATGAGCAAATACAGATAATAGCAGACCTTGCAACAAGATGCATGCTATTTGGTGCAGATGGAAAGCTAGGAATGATTGATGTTGCAAGGGAGTTAGTACACATGACTAAAGAGAGTCCTGATGGAGGAAACATGAGAGGACCTGCACTGGAGGAGACATTCTCAAATTCAAGCCTTCTTCAAATGATATCAATGTCTCCTGATTCTATGAATGTTCCTTGAATTTTCCTCCTTCATTGTGCCAGTCATTTCAGTTTTTCAGTCCCCCTTCCCCTCTCAAGAAAAGAAAAGATGAACTACCACAATTTTATGTGTATGCGTATGTGTGCATTAGAAACCCCCTACCACTGTACATTAGGGAATGGATTGAATATTCTGGTTCTAATTTACTTCACTAAGCTGTATAAGCAAGTGTATGTGGTTAATGTCTCTTAAAAAATTTAATCAGCTGCTATTTAATATATATGCATTTGTGTGAATCATTTTCTGTATAGAGTAGAAGTATTTTATGGACATATATGAGTTATTTAGTTACAAATAATAGCAATATTTCATTATAAAGCATCAATGAAAGATAAAAGAAGAAAAAACCAGCAGAGCTCTGACAACTCAATATGCTACGTGTGGTTTAATCACTCGGGTCTCATTTCTTTTTCTACCAGAAACACTGAATATCACGTCCAAGTGGACTCAAATTTCATTCTAGTTAAGATTTGAAGTGCTTTTAGCTGTATGTTTGGTATGGCTTATTGACAATTGAGCTTGATTTTGGAGAATTTAATTTCATTTTGAACTATTTTATCTGATTCATTCTCCTATTCAAAGTTTTTTAGGCCTTTGGTCAAACCAAATAACCAATTGATTAATAGTAGTTTCCATTTCATTTCAGAATTCTTTGTATTGTTTCATCTTCTTGCTTGAAATTAGCTGAGTACTAAAACTATTTTCATCTGATCTGCTTCTTGAAAACTTAAGGGTTACTGATTAACCAGATGTAATTAGGGTAATTGATGTTTCAATCAACAACTGTAAAAGTTAACTTCACGGTTTAGAGATTAAGATCCATTAAACCATCACATTAGTACATTTCCATTAAGTTTTTAAACAGTAGATCTCATAATTAAAATATTATCTATAAGGGTCTAGTGGTGTCTTAACTAGATTCCTGGACTTCAGTTCGATTCTAAAGAATTGCAACTCCTAAAACAGATGGAAAAGTTCAAAATCGAAATCAAATTAATAAAACCCATTGATATTTATAAAAAAAATATTATCTATAATTCAAATGTCAATGTTATGTGATAGAACCAATTAGCATATTCTTTCTATGGCCATGTGCTTGGTTTGAAATTTTCATCATGTGACTGGACTAAATAAGTTGGCAGCACCATGTGCAGCTATGAAAAATGATTTTCCGGCCCAACGTGCAAAGTAAATAAGCAATTTGTCAAGTGCATAAACATGGATGGGAGGGTTTCCCTAACTTCATGACCTCAACAACATACTACTTAAAAAGTGGATTAAACGTGAATATTATTAAAACTGATAAGGATAGAATCATGTTACAAAACTCCAAGGATTTTATGTCATAAAATAATTTTAATGCAAATATGAATTTCACTTGAGCCTTACCCTAATGTATTATATGTTCAAAGATTCTCCCATAATATCAGTGCCTAGGAAATTGTATATCACGCCACTTTCTTTAAAACATTCTTTCATTTATGATGTTTTACACTTTTACACACACGCACACATGTGAAACATCGTATGTAGTTAATAACCACAATTACTAACGTGAAACGTCATTATTAATTTGCATCTTTGCCCATAAATGATGACAAGTTAAAGAAAGGTGCAAGAGCAATATAAGGTAAAAAAAAGTAATACTTTATATCAATAAGAACAAAATGAAATAATCATCATAATAAAAAAAAGTCTAACTTGAATTTTTTTTGGCTATAATTTGCCTTTTGAAAGTTCCAAAGAACAAGTGGAGTGGTAAGCTAACTTGTCGGAATGCTCTGACTCTGTTCTCCCCATTGACCTTTATATATAAACATCACTCTTCTCAGATCTCTCTGCTCAACCCTTTACCTTCTTTTCAGCATATTTGCTTTTGGTGTTATTCAAGGTTCGTTATTTGCTTTGTTTCAAACCTTATAATCTATCCTTTTTTCATTTGTTAATTTATGTTTGATATTGGTTTCATGCATCAAGTTGGCATCTTTTCTGAGTTTCCTATCATGGGTACAAATTTTTTTTCAATTATTCTTTGTTGTATTTCTATTAACCACTGCACCAACCCATTTTTCAATTCCTTTTATCAGAATATTAAACAAAAAAATGGCCTTCTTGAGATCCAATAATAACCAAGTGTGATTAGATGAACTGCAAAATGTCATTGACTTATGGGGTTGATTTATATGTACAAGACAGTTTGGGAAAAATTTAGTCTCTATTACCACTGATTAATGTTGTTGGGAAAACTGTAACATATCATGAAATGAAGCAAATCTTTTTGATGACATGTTGACAAAGTTAGGGTATGTGGAATTCAAAATATGCCTGGATGGATCATAGATGAATTAATGTTGGGAAACCAATGAATTCAAAATGACAAAGTTCTGATGGACCTTGACGTGTAAAACTTGGATTACATAGATACTAGGCTCGATGGTTCATGTCTGTTGAAGACATTCATTGTTTTCTTGAACCATTTTGACTCTTGCTGATTCATCAAAATCGTTTGTCTTTGCCTTTATTGTGTCATGTCTTTAAAGATGAGTCAGAATACTGAGAAAAAAAGTGAAGAAGCTCGAGAAAACCGTCAAGCTCCCCGCTTGAATGAAAGGATTCTTTCATCTTTGTCAAGGAGATCAGTTGCTGCTCACCCTTGGCATGATCTTGAAATTGGTACTGTTGTTGACCATATTGCTTTTCCTATTTATCTTGCACATTGGAATTCATTTTAACTTTAGATGACTTAAATTGTGTCACCAATGCACCTTGTGGCCATTCCAAATGTCTATACCCTCCCCAAAAAAAAGAAAATCATGTAACTAATCTTCTTATTTTTCATGTGCAGGACCTGGAGCACCCCAAATTTTCAATTGTGTAAGTCCACATCTTTTGATTCTGGAAAAAATACTGGCTGCCTATAAAATAATGTCCACAATGATGTCATTATTTTCAACATTTACTTTAGAAAAACTCTTAAGGTGTAACCATTGCACTGGTGCAATCATTGGGTATTCTGCCAAAAATAATTGTGTTAGATTCAAATTTAATCCAGTTTTCCAAAAAAACTGCCATACCGGAAGGTCTATTATTGATACCAAATTAGTGGTTGGACAATAGACATGGCCTTTCTTGGTTCTTAGGAAAGTAGGTATAAAGATCAACTACAAACCAAGATCTTTGGGTAGAAGAGGCACAAAGTAGACATGGATTATAGCTTGAGTGCATACAGTCCACAATTTATGACAAGCAACCTTACCATCTTTTAGGATGTAGTTTCCGAACAAACAAACATAAACACAAACCAGTCATGCTGGAAGTATACATATCACAAATTACTTGTAAAAGTAGAAATAACATGAGTTTCTAAAGAGCTTATGCAGGTTTTCCTGTTGTTGATGAATCTAGATAAAAACTACATATAACAAGATTAAGTTCCTTCTCAATCTTTTCACAACTTAGGTCTGCACGTCTCCCTTTAGATACTGAACATATTCCTGAGCATGATAAGTGACATAAACCTGTCTCACTTTTTAACATCAATCTAAGAAAATTTTCCGGTCACACTTCTTTAAATCAAATTTTGTAACACTATTGCACTCCCAAAGATTCTTCTATTTCTATCTTTTATCATTTCGAAATCTCCAATAACTTATCTTCTCCTAATAACCGTATTTATGCAAAACCTTTGATTCTGTTCTTGACCTGAAGTTTTCCACTGTAGTACATTGTTTCTGCTTGCTCAATGGTTAGTTGCTAACTCCAGGTTGTGGAGATCACCAAGGGAAGTAAGGTCAAATACGAACTTGACAAAAAGACTGGAATGATTAAGGTAGGACCCAATTGCCCCCGTTTTGAAATTGAAGTCTCTAGTGCTATAATCTGAAACAGATTTTACAGATAACTCCATTTCTTCCAGATGGTTTTTTTCTGTTCAGTTGTCAACCAACCACAAAGCAACAAGATTGGTTGGAGGGCAATTGGACAAAACATGAACTTGGAATTTATCTCTTTCTTTTTCTTTTCTTTTTCCTTGTAGACTCTTGATCCTTTTCAATTCTAATTTTTTCTTTTCGTTACTCATCTATCATTAGATTCTTCTTACCCTTTGAGTAATGCTCAGGTTGATCGGATTTTGTATTCATCAGTTGTTTATCCTCATAACTACGGTTTTGTCCCTCGAACTCTATGTGAAGACAATGATCCACTTGATGTTTTGGTTCTCATGCAGGTAAATTCTTACCATTTCAAATCCATCCAACTTATACAATAGCCATTATTTACTAGTTAGTGTATATTGTATAGTAATACTAACACTAGGCATGATTCTCTCTTTATCAGCAATAAATTAAAAGCTGCTTCTGAAATTTTGACATATTTGGATTATATTGATGGAAAGGACACATCAACATTGAATCCTCAGTTAATCACCCACATAATTTTCATATTTTTCTATTATCCTTTCCTTCATTCAAAAGATGATACCAAATAAACTCAAATGCTGCATTAGCCGTATAATGAGATGACTATGTTTTTTTAGCTATATGTCAAGAAGGTTATCCATTAGTAAAAACTTACTGAATTTCTGATGTGGTAGGAGCCAGTTCTTCCTGGTTGTTTCCTACGAGCCAGGGCTATTGGACTGATGCCCATGATTGACCAGGTATCTTTTTGGTTTCTTAACAAATAAAACAATTGCCATTTTCTTCCACCCATTTACATGATAACAAGTTTGTCCCTATTGACACAGGGGGAGAAGGATGATAAAATTATTGCTGTATGTGCTGATGATCCAGAGTATAAGCACTACACTGACTTCAAAGAACTTCCACCTCATCGCCTTTCTGAGATCCGACGCTTCTTTGAAGACTGTATCCTTAACAATCGTGATTCAAGAGCATGTTGCTTAAGTTTCTGTTGAGATATATAAAACCATTAATATAGCCTCACCTAACAGTTTAAGCTTTTTGGTTGAATTGGTTCTTTACATGGTTCTTTACATGGTATCTCTTGTGGAATTTCTTTCTTCGCATAGGTAGGTGGGCCTGTGCATTATTCACCCTTCAAGTTCAGCGGGCACTCATGTGAGGGGACATGTTGAGATATATAAAACTATTAATGTAACCTCACCCAATAGCTTAAGCTTTTGGGTTGAATTGCTTCTTTACAATTTCTTTAAGCTTAGTTTACATTTTCATCAGAATTTGAGTGCATTTCTTAACATATTGCTAAGACAAGAAGAATGAGAACAAGGAGGTAGCAGTTAATGACTTTTTGCCTGCATCCACTGCTGTTGAAGCCATCCAGTACTCAATGTCAGTATATATTGAGCAACTAATTTTTTTCCCACTCATGTATCTAATTAAAATTGCATCATTTCAAAGTTGGCTATGGTGGTTTGTTGCAGGGATCTTTATGCGGAGTATATTATGCAAACCTTGAGGCGATAAACAAGAATACTATTCTCCAAGAATCAGAATAAGCTTCAATCTATACTGTTTTTAAACATATTTTGAAGAAACTTTATTGTATTTTGTATTGAGTTGGATAATATACCACTTGTTTGTTTATTAAGCGAAGAACAATCATCAATTATGATGCTTCATGCAGAATCCTAGTTGATTGCATTTTTCAGTTTCCGATTAATACTTTGGTAATATGTTTTTATCAGTTTGATTCTGCACGCACTTGTAACCTTCATTTTGTACTCTTTGAGTACTTAAGGCAACATGTGTAGTCCAAATTAGCCTAAATCTTGAGGCAATGAAATGTGCTGTCCCCAGGATATTCTAAAATAATTATACATTTATGGCAAATAGATTGGTATTAGTATTTTTGTTGCCATAAAAGAATATTGGTTATGTTGTTTATGTCATGTGAAAGAAATTATGATTTGTGCAGTTACATGTGGAACAAAACCTAGAAACTGTTATTTTAATATTTTTTGGTATACTGACCTTAATTATCTTTTTAAAGTGAGTCAGCTCCTCGGATATCCCACGGGTTTTAACTATTTGATCCGACTACAAAACTAATCTCAAATTAAACTGTTATTACTTGCTAGGTTTCGGCTACAATAATTAATGGGCCTTTAAAAAGGTTATCGTAGTATTATAAGAATATTATACGAACACCGAACGTTGTGTGCATACTTCATAATTTTGGCCCAGTATATATTGCAATTGGCATGATACTGAAAATTTGAAAACAACTAGTTTTGGGCCTAACTTCTTTCCCTATAAAAAAATAATGATAAGGAAAGTGAGGAAAGAAAATCAATTATCATAAATAGAAATTTTACAACAAAATATAACACTAATCTGCACCAGAAATGAGATTAAGATCATAAGGGGGCGTTTGATTGAGGAGAAATTTTTTGAATACTAGGGAAATGGTTGGAAAGTGAGTTTGATAGGAAAATGTAAAAAAAGTTGTTTGGTTAGAAAAAATTTACCGGGCAAATTAGGTAAGATTTATAAAATCTATGTTTGATTTGAGATAAAATATAGATGGGGAAATAAGTGACAATTACAAAAATATCCCTGTTTTTAAATTTTTAGGAAAATAAAAAAATTGTAAATTCGATAAACTGCAAGCGAAAGGTGTGCTTCTTCGCACACACCCCTCGTCAGCTCAGATCTTGCCATTGAATTCCAACACTGATTCTTCAAACAACAACATCACATGCAAGAACAGCAACAAGTTCGCTTCTTCGATTTTGGTTATAGCACAACCAGACAATGCACCCGCTCCTTCTCCCAAATCAACCACCACCGGCTCAACCACCATCTCATGTGAGTCTTCAACCATCCCCTCTAAAGTCTTCATCTTCATCACCGCCTTCGGCTACTCCTGCTGTTTCTCCATACGGGTCTGTTCCATCCCCGACGGCAATACCAGTGAGCAGTCCAGGCGGGTGACGATTCGGGTGCAGGCTTCAAATATGGGTACGCTCGTCTTTTGGTTAAATAACAATGTGAGCAAATAGGTTGCTTTTCAGCAATACCACGTATCAAAAGGGAAACTTTCGCCGGCTATATCCACAAAAATGGCTATGCAACTTGGTTTGGTAGGATAGTGATTTAGGTAGGTAAGTATGGAATCTCCTTCAACAAAACATGGTTACCTTCTATTCCCACTTCTCATTTGCCTATATATCTCAACAAAATCCTCCAACCAAACACACCCTAAGGGGCTGTTTGGTACAATGATTTATTTTGGTTGCCCGGGAAATTGTTATTGGGAAAATTTTATTCCTACATTTGGTACAAGTAAAGTTAAAATTTATCTGGGAAAAATTTGTTCCCTGCATTTTTTTTTTACACTATCAAATCCAAAATCAGAATACCAACTTGGACATGTTATTTTTTTGTTCCCGCTAGTTGAGAAAGGATTGACATTAATCTCTGCAGAAAATACCCTCCTGAGCCCTCATGGTACAAATTCGTTCGCTCGTTTTGCTGAATTTGTTTGCTCACTTCATTTCTCTGGTTAACATAATACTTCGTTTTGTTGAATTCCTTTCCACACCTGTCAGTTAAACGATTAGCAAAAATATAGGGGATTTGTTCGTTCACTTCATTTTGCCGAATGGCACTGTAACACAAATAGTCACTCCATATCCATGAAATAAGCTTGGAAAGGAAATAGACAATGGGGGATATGGTTACGTACCAAGAGGATGAGAGTTAAAACAAAAAAAAATGATCTGGGAGCATTCAAGAAGAACATGGGTACAATGTTGGAAGAGTTCACTGAGTGAGTATGTCATTCTTAGCTCAATGGTGTTTTTTCATTTTCTTTATAATCATCTCTAAAATACATACATCATCACAAGGTTATTTTCGTTATTTCATATCATATTCCCAGCAATATTTTGTCATTAACCAAACATACACTAGGAAAAATGACAAATATTTCTAGTAATATTTTGGCCTACAAAACGCTTTTTTTGTAAAATTCTCGAGAAAATAATATTCCTACCATATTCCCAGTTATCATGATTCCCGGATAAAAAAAATTTCTCCTATACCAAAGCCCCCTAAGTGTTAAGTGATACCCGGGAAAATGAGAGTCAAAACTATAGAATTGTATATATATGATTTTTTGAATTCAAATATATATATATATATATATATATATATATATATATATATATATATATATATATATATAATATATAAGAAAAGTGTTTGTCATTTTAAATGACATAAAGTTATGTCATTTTAAGAGAGAGATAGACACAAAGTAATATTTTTTATTTAAAATTTAAATTAAAAAAAAAATCACTCACTTTTCCCCCATGATTTTCATTTCTTGTGTCTATCCCTCTCCTAAAATGACATAGCTTATGTCATTTAAAATGACAAACATCAAACTCATATATATATATATGGAAATAACATCTGTCATTTTAAAGGATATAGGCTTATATCATTTTAGATCCTAACCGTTGATTTTCGTCCATCAACAGTTATAATTTATTGGATCAAAATTATTAATTAATTAATAATAAATTTGGCCCATTAAGTTTGACCCAATAGATTATAACCGTTGATGGACGAAAATTAACGGTTAAGATCTAAAATGATATAAGATTATAGGAAAAAATATCTATTCTTTTAAAGGATATAAGCTTATATCATTTTAGATCCTAACCATTGATTTTCGTCCATCAAAGGTTACAATCTATTGAGTCAAACTTAATGGGCCAAATTTATTATTAATTAAATAAGAACTTTGTTCCAATAAATTATAATCGTTGATGAACGGAAATCAACGGTTATGATCTAAAATGATATAAGCTTATATCCTTTAAAATGACATATGTTATTTCCATATATATATATATATATATATATATATATATATATATCAGACGTACATGAAGAAAAATTAAATTATATTGCTATAAATTCTACGTTGTTATAAATAATATTATTATGGATGTCCATAACTCCCGAAGAAATAATGTGTAACTTTTGTAACTTCTAATATGTAATTAAGAGGATTCAATTTAATCATTTATTTTATTGTAACCCATTATAATAGAGGGTTTATGAATAGAGACCATGTACATATCTTGAAAATGGTTAATCAGAATACAATGAAAGTTACCTTCTTTCTTCTTGTCCTAATTTTCACTCTTTCTATTGTGTTTAATATACTCTTGTCATTCTTTAGTTTCATAACATGTTATGAGCCTAAAGCTCTAACCAACTGAGAGGAAATTCATTTTTCTTGTTTGCTATGTTTATTTTTGCGCATCAAGATATGGAAAAAATCGTATCTTGAATTTTGAGCTTTCTTTCCACAAATTTCTCTCTCTCTCTCTCTTTAGTTTTTCTTTCTCATAATTGTAATACTCATTTTGCGAATATTGGATTTCCATCGAAACCTTTTTGTATGCTGGTTTTGTCTCTTCCATTTAGTTTGGGGTTTACTCCTTTTCTTTTGTGTTTTTTTGGTAGTCTGAGTTTCTGGTGCAAGATTCATCCAAGTCTTAGAGGTTCGAAGGGGGTCTTGAATTGTGGCTTGGTGGACATCGAATCTCATACCTGAGGAGGATGACAATGTGGAGGATAAGTCTTCCTCTTCCGATGGCTTCTAGAGCACAAAGTTGGCATGGAGCCTCTACAGGTGGTGCCTTTGCTACTCATCCTGGCTGTTAACATATTCTCAGCCGCTAGCAAATGTGTCTCCTTTCATGTTCGCCAGAATGAATAGATCTACGGCTCCCATAACTTTCAATGGTGGAAGAGAGCGAGAAGCGAATTTCATCAGTGGTGGGACTGAAATCATCGCAGACTAGTTATCCTTTTACAATGACGCCAGAGTTTTCCTGTTTGCGACCCTTACGGAGTTCACGCTTGGCACTAGAGGCCAAGACTTCTACGATGATAGCCTTGTCGGTGACTTCAATCTTTCCATAACAGTGACCACAAGTTAATTTCATGAATCATTATTTACTTCACTGGTAATCACATTTTATTTTAACGGCTAAAGCTTAAAAGTAGTTTAATCTATGCAATATTAAAATATGAATGTTGGCTGATGTGGGATTGTCTGCGTACACACTATTCTATGTTGTTTTATCGTGTTGTGATAACATTATTATATTCTAAGATTTTTATTTAATTACAAAAAATTAAATGTAGAAAACAATACCCCTCATTAAAAAAAAACATTTTTAGCAATGGATGAAATCCGTCGCCCGTATTAAATAATCAGTTGCAAATACCCTCTGCGACGGATTTTACGTGGAAAAAAGTCATCGCAAAATCCCTCATTGCAAACGAGATTTGCAACGAATTTTGGGCGATCCAAAATCCATTGTAAATTGCAGCGAAAATATTCTGACGCAATATTGTGTAATTCCCTCGCAATATGCAAGTCTGCCTACAGCTAGGGGTGGCAAAAATGAGCCAACCCGTCGGGTTGGCTCGTAACCCGCACAAAACGAGCCGGGTTGGGTTGGCAAAAATGAGCTGCCAGCTCAATTTAGCCCGACCCGAGCCAACCCGGGCTCAAACGAGCCAGCTCGCGGGTTGAACGAGCCAGCTCGCGGGTTACTCTTTTTTTTTTTTTTTTAATAAAATATAATGGACTTTAC